AAACGTATTTTGTGTACTTTACAAGAAATTGATAGTGAGTTTAAAAGTAATTAGTTAGATTGTATAGCCTTTTTATTTGCATTAGAATACCGCACTGTTTTGTTAAAGCTACATTTGAATGTAAGAACCTTATTTTTTTACTTAACAGCTTACATAAAACTTAGTGTTTTAAAAAGTAAAACTCGTCTCTTGAATTTGACCACCTCTGTGTCGGGTAAGATTAGAAAACGTTAACAAACATTTTACTTTAATAGACAAGCTCCTCCCCCACACGGTACATCACTGCTGTAAGCTCCTCCCCCATTTTTTGTCACTGCTCATTAGGACCTTTGGTCAATCTGTATGTTAGAAAAGACCCTCGATCCATTGGCCAATCTGTATGTGGCCGAGACAGGGAACTCTAGTTTTCGTTGATATTCTTTTAAACTGATGGCTTTCAAAATGAGGGGTCACTTGATTGGTCTTTATATTTAAAATCTTTTAGTTGCAGTTGCCCCCGAAATACCCCATTTTAGGCTCCCGGGCAATACTGTGATACCGACCAAAAAGTAGTTTTTTTAGCGAATTTCCCATATAGGGAATAAGCTATTACCGTAGGTCTCATGGTAAGACTTGGACCCGGGACCGATTTACTTTTTCATTTTAATGTCCCTAGAAGCCAAAAACACTATTCGTTCAAATTCATATATATATATATATATATATATATGTCCGTTATAGCACGATAACTCGAGCAAAAATGATCCGATTTTTATGAAATTTGGTACAAACGTGTAAACCTATGTTACTTAGGACGAGTTCGCGAACCAGCATGATCGGACCACGGGAACAGGGTACTATTCCTAGGTACTAAGCTATGTACAACAGGGAGAAGGAAGTAGTCAAGGCAAGCTGTCCGGAGTGTGGGATCTGTTTATGACCAATAGATTAAGGTATTTGCAATCCAATAATGCTAAGGGAAGGGAGGGAAACAGGTCTGTGACGTAGGAAGTGGTGAAGGAAGTAGTAAAGGCGAGTAGTCTGGAGTGTGGGAACTGTTTATGATGATTAGATTAAGGTATTTGCAATCCTAAAATGCTATGGAAAGGGAGGAAAACAGGTCCGCGACGTAGGAAGTGGTGAAGGATGTAGTCAAGGCGAGTAGTCTGGAGTGTGGGAACTGTTTATGACGATTAGATTAAGGTATCTGCAATCCTAAAATGCTATGGAAAGGGAGGAAAACAGGTCCGCTACGTTGGAAGTGGTGAAGGAAGTAGTCAAGGTGAGCTGTCCGGAGTGTGGGAACTGTTAATAACGATTAGATTAAGGTATCTACAATTCTTAAGTGCTATATGGAAATGGAGGGGAAAAGATCCATGACGTAGGAAATCTTGTAGGACGTAGTAAAGGCGAGCCGTGTGGAGTTTGGGAATGGATTTTTGTATCTCCAATATAGTACTAAGACTGCTTTCAGAGTGGACTAATGATTTTCCCCGAGCAAAGCTCGGTCCCCAGGTACTTCCTTTTAAATATGAAACATCATAAGGTTAACATGGGAAACTCCAGAGCCACTGGGGCGGAGCCCGAAAGCCCGATCAGAATAAAATCTACTTAGTTGTCCTATTTAATGCCCAAAGAATCGGTGTACCGAATTTCAGCCTCCTAGGTAAATGGGAAGTGGGAGAATTAGTGATGAGTGAGTGAGTGAGTCAGTCAGTGAGGGCTTTTTCTTTTATATATATAGATAAGATAGATAAAACTTATTCGTAGTCAATGGTTTTATCTATCCCAGAACCTTGCAAGGCTCGGTCCCCGGTACTCAAGAGATTTCAAGAGAGATTGAAGAGATTTATTGTCCCATTAAGTAATAAATACAATAGGCATGGAAATTCGCGTAGTCTTCGGGTTTGTGGTGGTGGGGGTATTTTTAATGTAATTTTATTTAGTATACAAGCATAGATATTACTGATCCATTCCTCTTTGCAATTAAACCCTGACTTCTGCTTCAGCTTTTTTGGTTATGTATAGTACCGACCGGACCGGCTTCCTCCTTTTCTTTCTAGCACTAGCTGACCTTGTGAAACTACTTTATTTCGGTAAGTGGATTAACTTTGGTAATTTAATGTTAGTTATTTTGGAAACAGTTGTTTAATCAGTAGTTTGCAACTATTGAATGTTTGAATAATTTGCCCCAGTTACATAGTCGACATACTTGGTTCCTTGGGTTGCATCACTGTTGTTGTGTTGTGCCTCTCTGGTTGTATTGTAAATTGTTGACAACGTGCGCCCTTTGTTTGGTCATCAAGGATCCTATATTTTGTAAATCCATTTGATGAAGGTTCTTGCTTGGAATAAATGTCATTTACACACTTCTAAAGTATTTAGGATCCGGAAGATTAATCTTATTACTAACTTAATCAAATCAAAGCTTTAGGCCTATTTCCCAATAGACAATACAATTGCATATGGGATGGTCAACGATAGGTACCGTAGATATTACGTTGGTTAAACATTTTTCAAGGAAGAGTACAATATGGATGTAGAGTACAAGGGGATGCGGAATACTATCCCCCGGAAAACTACCCCCCCCAGGTGAAACGTGACGTCACAAAATCTGCCAACTAACCAATATGGAAGCCGTGTCCGCGACTGGAATACTACCCCCCCCCCTAGACAAATCATGCTATTTAATTTTAATTTTAATTCGAGTAATTCCATTGGATAATAGAAAAGTCATGTGGTGAATATAAAACAGAATTTCGAAATGTTACAGCAAGTTTGGTTGGTTAGGTTAGGTTAGATTATAACTGTTTGACAACTAAATTTGAGTGTCCGTGACTGGAAAACTACCCCCCCGGTCTCTGACGTCAATATGACGTAGGGACCTGATAATGAAAAAAATCAAATGAAGGTTCAATTCTCTTCATTACATAAAATTATAAATGCCAAAAATTCTAACAAAAGATGTACATTACAGTTAAGAAGAAATTAAACATTCAAAGCAAAATCTGTGACAAAAAGTTAAAGAAACCGATGAGTTTCGAACCAGGGACCTCTTGGATATCAGCCGAGCACTCTATCCACTACACCACGAACAACGCTGGCCGAACATCGTATTGTTGTGGTAATGGCGTTCCGGCATCCCACAACCCGGTGACGTCACTACCGGACGCCTAATCCACGTCTGGTTACCGGACGCGTAGCCTATCCTCTGAAATCAGAAATCAGAAACTTTTTATTGCCGTAATTTGCAAGGTACATGCATATGAGTCAACAATGAGGTTCAAGATTAACCAAGAAAATAAAACTAGATAAAACATAAATAGACAAAACATTTGTCTGGGCAGTTACAATAGATCATAAAATAAAAAATCTAGCTACCTATGCAAGCATCGAGCCTATCAGAAACAATGACAGTAAAAGGTCAACAATTTAATTGTTCATACAGATCATAATGGTCATACTCAAAATGCAAATAAATAGAGACTTGCATTGAGTAAATTGTTGGCATGTCAAAATAACATGCCACTAAAATCTTCCTGGAAATAACTCTCTAGGCTATAAAAGGGCCTTTGAGCAAGCCACTCATGCAAAACATGCTTAAACCTACTCATGCTAACATTACGTGCTGTGCTAGGAAGTTAATTAAACATTGATAGTCCTTCATAACTAAACCACTTTTTTGATTTGGATAGTCTCACAAAAGGTACATCTAGCAGATTACTGTTTCTGGTCACATGCAAGTGCACCGAGCTTCTACAAGCGTAACTCTCTAGTTTTGTTTTAACTCGTACCAAGCAGACAAATATATACATATTTACAATAGTCAGTATTTGTTCAGACTGAAACAGAGGCTTGCAATGTGCATCCAAGGGCGCACCACTTACAATCCTAACGACCTTTTTCTGTAGCACAAGAAGTTTTTTGACATCTGCTCCATTTCCCCACAATAACAGACCATAACTCAAGATGCCATTAAAAAAAGCATAATAAGATATTTTCAGATATGGCTTAGGAACAAGATTTCTAAGTTTTCTTAACAGATTAATTACCCTGTTGAGCCTAACACACAGGGATTCAATATGGGAAGACCAAGAGAGAGAAAAATCAAGCCAGATTCCCAAAAGTTTTACATTTTTTTCCACATCTAAAAGCCCAAGATCAGGTTTACCAAGAGTGAATAAAATATTCTGAGTTTTAGAGTCATTCAAAAGTAACCCATTTGTTTCAAACCAAGAGTTAGCATCATTTAGAGCATTATTCATTAACAATACAAGACTATTTACATTAGAACCACTACAAAAAAGGTTGTATCATCTGCAAAGACAACTGAGTTTACACCTATGTTTGAAGAGAGATCATTTACATGTACAAGGAACAAGAATGGGCCCTGTACCGAACCCTGCGGTACTCCACTTTTGATCAGAGCTACGTCAGAGAGGGCATTATTGAACTCTCTGCGAGCGATTTTCTAGGTAAGATTGAAATAGGCTAAGCTCCACACCAACAATGCCATAATGCCTTAATTTTGTGAGGAGTATCTCATGCGGAACGCAATCGAAAGCCTTGGTAAGGTCACATAAAGTTGTTAAAGTAGTATGTGAGTGGTTTTCAAAACCATCTACAACCTTCTGTACAAGGCTCTCGACCGCATCCACAGTAGACAGCCCTCTTCGAAAACCAAACTGAAATTTGGAAAACAAAAAGTTAGTCTCAAAAAATTTGTTTACCTGGTGTTTCATTGCTGATTCAACGATTTTGGAAAAACAAGGCACCACAGAGATCGGCCTGTAGCATCGTGGAGAACTAGTGTCACCTTTCTTGTAGATTGGTACAGTTTTTGAGGATTGCAGGCACAAGGGGTAGACACCACTAGTAAAGCAATCATTTATGCAATGTGTAAGTGGGGCCACTATAAAGTGGGCCACTTCCTTTACAAAATCACTATTGATACCATATATGTCTTTGGAATTTCCACTTTTCATGTTTAGTATCAACTTTGCGACATCATCTCAGCTCACTGGCTTCCATCTGAAGGTGACCTCGGGTATACAGCAAAATTGTTGAGCAGGTAAGTAGAAGCAGGTTGATTGAGATTGACAGTTTTCTGAACATCCGCCACAGATGAGATGAAGTATTGGTTGAACTCATCCGCAGTTATGGGTACAACGCCCGCCTTGCTGGAGCTAATCCTAGCTGAATTTATAACAGACCAGGCTGTCTTACATTTGTTAGAGGACGATTCGATAATCTTGGCGTTAAAGTGAAGTTTAGCATCTTTAATGGCTGCTTTATAGTCCTTCCTAGCATCCATGTAGGTCTGCTTGAAGAATCCCACATTGATGTTGTACTTGGACGCCCATAATAAATTATGGTAACATGTTAAAGTTTCTTCACGGAGCTGACGGAGGTCATTTGTGAACCAAGCATTTCCAGTTCCACGGCGCTTTACATGAGGATTTTTCTTTACCGGTTTGATGGGAATACATAAATATAATTTTTCATGGAACTTTTCCATGAATAACTCAAAAGAGCTACTATTAGATATGTTATTAAGAAATGACCAGTCAATTGAAAAAAAAACATGTTTTCTGTTATGTTAAAATGTTTTCTGTGTATGTTATATTACAGTTTATTGCCTTATCTACCTAAATTAGACTATTTTAAGCACATCGGTGATTTTAGACGCATGAAAAACTTTTTGGGTACAGTTTCTTAACTGGACTAACTTAACTTAGGCCCTATCGATTGAAACTATCAAATTGAAAATATCGTTTAATAATTGATACATTTACAAGGTATATTGAGTTATTTTAAAATTAACTGTCATAACCTAACCTAACCAACCAAACTTGCTGATAGTGTAAATATCGAATTAAGGTTTACTAATAATCGGTATTAGCATAGCTAAGTTAAGAAACTGTACTCAATTTATTTTTACTATGCGTCAATAACTTAATACTAACCTAACCTAACTTATCCAGGGTTTACCCAAAATCGGTCATTATTTCACATTGTTAACCTAAGCATGGGTTAGGTTGGGTTGGGTTAGGTTAGGTTAGGTTAGTTTAGTTTAGTTTATTAGGGTAGAATGGGGGAAATCGGTGGTGGGGTAAATTGGAGGTAAATTTTAAAAATAATTATTTAACCCTTTTTGAAATGTTTAAATTAGGCTAGGTCTTAAAACCACTAAAACATTGTTTACATATTTTCTAGTAGGTAATAAAAAATAATTTTGCTTAGACATGTACGTAACTAAAAAAAATAGAAAAAAATAAAACGATTTATCCGTTTTTTCAAAATCTCCGAGCCTAGAAATTGCATTCGTTTTAAATTAATATTTTTTACCATACACTATACAGATGTAGAGAAAATGTTCCAAATCTGTCCCTACAAGAAAAAGGACATTCTAAACTACAATTATTTATATTTAAAGAAGATAATAATTTAAAAGGCCATTGGGGGGAAGGAGGTTAAATTTTACCTCCAAATTACCCCACGTGGGTAAATTGGTGAAATTTTTTTTTGTTATTTTCTGTTTGTTTTTACATAAAATCATTTGAAAATGCCATAAACAAATTGTTAAGGGCATATACTATCATCAAAAGACTAAATTAAGACCCTAGTAGATGACATTTTGTGTGCAGTCAGTCCACTGTTAAGGCCCAATTGATATATAATCAACCCAATACAGTGTAGTGCAGTTATTATATATACTGTACAAACAAAATAGAAACATATGTTATAAAAATAAGTAAAAACAATGATACAAGAATAATATTGTAAAATAAAGAATTAAAATATGAAGTGAGTGTTACATTTATGTCTAACAAAAGTGCATTTAAAATCAAATTATCAAAAACATTATGGTCCTTCCTTCGCAGCCACATTAATTGTGCACGGCATCTATTGTAAGTCCATTTTTATCAATTTCTACAGTTTGAAGATTACTGTTTTCCACCAAGGAATCAACAGATTCACATTGTGCTGTTTTCCCATCCAGGAAACAACAAGTTACACAATCACAGTCTAAGCTTTGGGATATTGGACCTGAATTTACATCTCTTATTCATTTTTTGTTCTTTTGACCCTTTTCAATTACTTTACCTTGTATGTAAAGCCACAATTGGTCCCATTGTTAGACTACAACAATTCAAACTAGTTTCTTCTAACCCACTTCTAGTAACATGACGGATGAAGTAGTTAAGAAACTTAAAAGCCAACTTGATGCGGTCCAGTTTCGTAGAAATTGTGCTTTAAAGAAAATAGACAAAGTTTATAATCTAGGCTTAAGCTTAGGAATAACCACCGAGTCTGAAGATTGTGAATCCTTTAAAATTCGTAGTGCATCCATTCATGAGTTATTTGAGGAATTTAACACACTCCAATTAGAAATAATTGCTTTGAAAAGTCAATTAGATGAATCAGATTATAGTAAAGTAGAAGAGCTTTCTGATAATGTTAGTGACAAATATTACTACATTTTAACTGTTATGTCAAAGATTGTCCCTCCCGAAATTGAAAAGTACAACCACCTAGTTCTAGATCTGAAACTAACCATTTGCCCGTACAAAGCCAAGCAAAGTTACCTAAAATTAGTTTCCCTTCATTTTCTGGCAACTTCAAAGAATGGCCTACCTTTTATAATTTATTTAGACAACTAGTGCATGAAAATAAATCATTGTCAAACATTGAACGGTTCATGTACCTTATTGGCTCATGTACAAATGATGCATTGAGGTTAGCAAAGAATCTCCCCATAACTGATGTCAATTATACCATTACTTGGCAAAGTTTTGTATCTAGATTCCAAAATAAGCGTAAACTTGCTACATGTTACTTGGATGAAATACTAAACATATCTCCAGGCTTTGAGAAACTTCATTGATACCTTATCTGAAAATACAAGTGCCCTAAAAACACTAGGCCTACCTGTTGAGCAATGGAGTTTTCTCTTGCTTCACAGTGTTGTTTGCAAAATCGATCATAAGATGCGCACTGATTTTGAACTTAAACATTCTGATATTGAATTGCCTACTTTTGACCAATTTTTGAGTTTTCTAGATGAACAGTGTAAAGCTCTTGAAACCGTTCAAACTTCTGTGACAGAAGTTTCTACAAATAAACCGTATAAGCAATACACAAATAATAAGCCTTATTTTCATCAAAGAGCCTGTGTATCTAATCTCAATGCAGTAATGTGCTTATTTTGCAAGGAAGCTCACACAATTTATAAATGTGAACAATTTGGACGACAAACTCCTGCTCAGCGTAGGGATTGGATTAAAACACAAAATGCTTGTTTTAATTGTTTACGGACCTCGCATAAACTAAATCAGTGTACTTCAAAAACTAGCTGTTTTAAATGTGGAGCAAGACACAACAGTTTACTACATAATGATGATATTGGCCTAACCAACAAGGCTCAGGTTAGGGTAAGGCAGAATAATAAGTAGGTCCTAATGAAAATTCCATTCAACCAGCTGAAAAACTTAAGTCAAGTCCCTTGCATTCATGCAGCAGTGTTAGGTCTTCTTTAGTTTTGTTAGGAACTGCTTTAATTCATATAAAGGATAGATCAGGTCAATTCCAACCAGTTAGAACTTTGATTGATTCTGGATCTCAGACTTCCTTTATAACTGAAGATTGTTGTCAGCGCCTGTGCCTTCCTCGAAAGAAATTCAATGAACATGTATCTGGTATTGCAGAATCTACTGTTTTATCTACTAAAATAGTTGTATCGTGCACTCTGAAACCTCGTTTTGATTCTGAACTTCGCCTTCAGACTAATGCTGTGATTCTGAAGAAAATTACGTCTCAAATGCCTTCTACCTCCCTTCCAGAATGTATCAAAGACCAATACAAACATTTAGAACTTGCAGATCCTACTTTTGACGCACCAGGAAAAATTGAATTTTTGTTGGGTGCAGACTTGTACCCTGAGGTAATGAATGGCGGGCGGATGCCTGCTCCCAAAGGTTATCCCATTCCTTAACCAAAGTAGTTTTGGATATATTTTGATGGGTCCAATTGATCTTAATGGCAAAACACAGCCATATGACCAGGTTTCGGCTGCACTTTACTTGACGTCCTACACTCATTCGAATGAAAATATCGATCGATACATCGATTAATCGATTGCTTCATTCGATATATCGTTTGGTTAGTTAGGTAAGGTTAACCTAACCTAACTAACCAAACGATAGTTATATCGAATGAAACAATCGAATGAAAATATCGAATCGAAAAAAACAATCGAATGAGTGTAGGACGTCAAGTAAAGTGCAGCCCAGGTTTCATCTATTGTTTCCAATGTTGCAACCATTGAACATTCTCTAGATGATCAACTTAGACGTTTTTGTGAATTAGAAGAAGTCCCAGTCCCTGCATCAGTTAACCCTGAAGAGGAAAAATGTGAGATGATCTATTGTAATGCTGTAAAACGGGATCAGGAAGGAAGATACATAGTTCCGCTCCCTTTTAAAAACGAAGATCCCAAGATTGGAAAGTCGTATGGGAACATGAAGTCGTCGATCAAAGCTATGAAAAGAATGAACAACAACAAAGACCATCCAAAAAATGGTGTAGCTCAAACTATTAGGTATCAGAATATGTCCAGTCACTATCGCCGGATCTATAATGCTAAACCTCGTATAGACACTGGCCCAATTTTTTCTCACAGACCCAAGCTACACAATACATCTAAACAAAACATCATACTTGGAATAAAAAAGAAAGTGAATTTTTCTACAGAAGCAGAGCAAGTCATCAGTTTCAGCTCAAGCAAATGTTGTAACTACTTAATCACATAATTTTGTAAATGTTCCTTATTGAAAAGAAAATGTTTCTTTTGGCGGGCGGTATGTTAAGGCCCAATTGATATATAATCAACCCAATACAGTGTAGTGCAGTTATTATATACTGTACAAACAAAATAGAAACATATGTTATAAAAATAAGTAAAAACAATGATACAAGAATAATATTGTAAAATAAAGAATTAAAATATGAAGTGAGTGTTACATTTATGTCTAACAAAAGTGTATTTAAAATCAAATTATCAAAAACACCACCATTTCCAGTTAGTTCCAGACATATTGGTCTTATTGACGCTGACTACAGTAAAGTAAAGAAATTACTGAGTGAGAAACGTCAGCAGGTAGGAATTGTGATTTAGACTAAATATGAGTTCAAACATGTCCTCACAATACACTAAGAAGTTTTTCTTTTCTTACAAAAAATATGCCTTACTTTTAAAAGAATAATTAAGGGAAAAAATACAGATTTTGGTAGAATTTTATAAGTTTGTAATAA